GACAGGCTGTCAAAGTCTGTTCACGCTTATTAAGATGTCCAAGGGAGAGATATACACATTGGGTGGGCATGAGTATTGTCTTCACTAGAGAAGGGCGCTCTATTGTGGGGCAGGCAAAGATGTGCATTCTGTTCCCTGAATATCCTTCTCGTGCCTGGGGACTTTCATACTGAAAAGAGGCTGTCGTTATAGCAAACATCAGTGTCTGGTCCCTGGAAAAGAGTATTTCCTTTAAAAGAGAGTGACCTTTGCTTTATAAATGATTTATTTTTAAAATTTTAGCATATAGACAGTACCAAGTGCCAGATCAATGTATGTTCTAACAAGATCAAAGTTTGGGCTCTGTAAAACCAAGGGCCAGGCCCCGGGCCCTGCTGGTCCCCTAGGGTTCTGCTGCCTGGGAGGCACTGTCTGAGGGTGTATTGCTAGAGCTATTGTCATAATCCTGCCAACGTAGCCAATTGTATTGCTACGGCTAGGGCCCACAGACCCTTCAAACCCATTGTACAGACTGGGTCACAGACCCCTCACATGCCAGGCTGGGTCACAGACCCCTCACATGTCTGGTTGGGTCACCAGACCCCTCACACATAGGTCCACAAGCTAGGTAATTGGGAAAGATCCCAGAGGCCATTGGCATATGACACGAGCTCAGTCCTCAGCAGCAGCAGCAGCCTCCAGCAGCAGTGGCAGTCACCTCCCAGGGGTCCCAGGGGCCTAGGCAGCAACAACTTGCAGAAACAGCCTCTAGCAGCAGTAGCAGTCTTCCCATGGCCCCCTGGGGGCATCCAGGGTACAGGAGAGCACTGTGAATCAGAGCCACTCATCCTTTATACTTAAGTCCATAACCCTGGACACCTGGATGCGAGTCAGACAACCCAGGAACACCTGGGTGCACATGCACAGTTATAATTTACATCAAATATATCAATCGGCAAGATTCTAAACATCGAAGAGAGCCCTGACCATTTTCCTATATCTTCCCTACAGAGGGGTCAGCGGGTCTCCTCTTTAAATGCTACAAGCACAACTGTATGTTCTGCTAATATTGTTACTTGTGTGTATTGCATCTTCTCTGTCTTCTCCTTGCACCCATCTCCATCTAGAATGTAACCCATAGCAACGTGATTCAAAGTGTCACACTGCAGTTTGTTACCAGCTCACAATGAGATAAACACAGAAATTGAAAGTAAGCAGTTAGAACCTGCTACAGAAATTTGACAAAGTAATTAATTTCTATCGAATAATAAAAAATTGGGGCTTGTATTTTATTGTGTCTTTGTCTTTTCACTTCATTTTATAGTAATTTATTTTTGTTTATACTGATTAATTTCTATCGAATAATAAAAAATTGGGGCAATTATTTTATTGTGTCTTTGTCTTTTCACTTCATTTTATAGTAATTTATTTTTGTTTATACTGAAAAAATTATTGGTTCATTATGGATTGGCTCACCCCAGATAGTTTGAAATGTACTGATCTAGAGGGCAGGATCCCTGTTTTATACTGATGCCATATGATGTTCAGTGTCCGTCCAAATGGAAAGTATAGCTCTCAATCTTGCTGCACAGTAGAATCACCTTGAGAGCTGGAAAAAAAAATCTATCTTTATCTGTATCTATAGAAAAAAATCTCAGCTCCATCCTAACCAATTAAAAGAATGGAGGTGGGATCAGGGTGGGGCAAGGGTTTCTGTGTTTATTTAAAACTTCCTCGGTGTTTCTAATGTGCAGCCAGGGATGGAAATACTTAATGTGGGTGGTATCCAATCAATGACCACAGATTGAATGAATGATTAAAACATGTCAGCCAGCCAACAGTAGGTGTTTATTACACACCTGATGCACACCTGACAATGCTGTACCAAGTGCTGAGTAACACGCTGCAAAGTCATGAACATTAATAAAGATTTTCCTATCTGATGATAAAATTCCTATGGACAAACCCAACATAAAAAGAGCATAGACCAAAAAACCTACACTATGCACCTACAAATAAAGTCACATTTATACACTATGCAGGGATGGAGTCCATCTTTCTCTCTCAAAGCAAACAGCATACCCGATAATATTTCACCTAAGAGATTCCTAAGGCTGGTGTCTCCCAGTTGGTCAAATAATCCACTAGATGTCACTCAAGATCCCTTAGGGTTCCCTCTCATGGGCTCTACCCAGCCTTCAATTCTACATTAGATCATTTTCCTCTCCAGACCTTGTCCCCACTGTCCACAACTCCAATGGAAGCCATGCAAAATGTAAGGCACAGAATGTGCTAATTATTTGATCTCCTACTGCTTTCCCTAGCTCCCTAGGCCCACCCCAATTATTCATTTATTTGAAGATAATAACTGAGGGCTGATTCTGTATCAAACATAGTTTAGGCTGTAATGAAATAATGGTGAGTGAAATATTATGGTTCTGTCCTCATGGAGTTTGCAGTTTAATCTATAAAAGCACTCCTCATTCTAATTTGTTTTGTTTACTTATTCTTCCTTCAGACTAGAAGCTCTCAGACTCTTTTGGCCACCACACCCAAAGTGAGAAAGAAAGACATTTTATATCACGACCTACATACACAAACATAATACCACAGTTAAAGTTTCACAGTACAATGCTTATTTTCATGTTATGCCATGTACTTTGATATTTTTTTGTCTGTTGTAGTTCATTTCTTTTTTTCAAAATGTTGGTCTTTTATGCACCAAATCGATTTCACAACACACTAAGTCACAATTCTAAGAATGAAAAATACTTGCCTTGAGGGCAAGGGCTATCTCTTACCTGTATTCCCAGTGCCTAGCAAATAGTAAGTGAGCAACACATGCTTTTTAAATGAATGAGAATGCTGAGGACTAATTTGCCTTAACGTTTAAATTAAGAAGACTTACTACAGATTAAGTAGTTTACAATATGCATAATCGGTGTCCTAAGAATATACTTATATATACACATTATATTCACATATATCTACAGGTAATTTTTTTCAGATAATATGTAGATCCTAGACTAAAAACACACTATATACACGGTTGATGTAATTTAATGGTCAGTCACAATTTGGGCTTACATATTTTAAGTTCATTTAATTAAAAACATGTTCATCTTGGGAAAAGAAGTCATGAGGAAGAATTAACTCTTTCAGATATTAAAACTTATTATACATTCTAATAGCTAAAAAAGCTTGGTGTTAGAGACTGTGATACACAGAATAACAGCCTCCAAAAATACCCTAATCCACAGAATCTGTGAATGTTACCTTGCACGGCAAAGGGATTTTGTAGATGGGACTATGTTAAAGATTTTGAGATAGGGATATTATCCTGTGTTACATGGGTGGATCCAATGCAATCACAAGGATTCTTGTAAAAGGGAGGCAAGAGGATCAGAGAAGGCAGAGAAGATGATGAAAGAGAAAGAGATTTGAAGAATACTATGCTGCTAGGTTTAAAGATGGAGGAAGGGTCCATGAGCCAAGGAATGCAGGTGACCTTTAGAAGCTGGAAAAGGCAAAGAAAGACTGTCTCCTAGAGCCTCTCCAAGGAGGACAGCCTGTTGATCCATTTTGGACTTCTGATGTCCAAAACTATAACACAATAAACCTGTGTTGTTTTAAGCCACTAAAGTTGTGGTAATTTTTTATAGCAGCAACAGGAAATTAATACAGAGATGGAACAGATAACTCAATGGAATAAAGTAAAAAATTCCCAAATTTAAAAAAAAAAAAAAAAAAACTTTGAGAAAGTAGTATTGGGACAACTGGATAGCCATAAAAAAATAAAGCTGGGTCTGTATCCCCTTACACCAGAATTCTTTCCAGATTATAGATTTTAGTATTTTTACAAAAAACAACTAAAAGTACTAACAAAAAATATGGATTTTTTTTTTGATTGAGGGAAAATACAAAACCCAGAAACAATAAGGAAGAGGTGGATAATAGTAGCTCTCACACATAGTAGGTGCAATTGGTAGTCAATTTGGCAACCTTATTCAAAACTAAACACACCCATACACATCAACACAG